CATTTTACCATYTGTTAAATTCCACTTTGGGTGGGAGGATCATTGTTTGCATGGCATATATGTTTGTTATTTTAGTTTATCTATGTATTCATATTTAGAATAAATTCTTTTAAGATAAAATAGATTTCTTTTCCAAACACAATCCAATCTGACATTCTTTTAATTGGTGACCTTAGGCTATTTACAGTGGATGTAATTATTAATCTTTTTAGATTTAAAACATTATTTGTTTTCTGTTTGCAGTCTCTGGTTTTGTTTCTCTGTTCCCTGTTTCCTGTTTTGTATTATTTGAATATTTTTAATATTCTATTTTAATTTATTTACAGGCTTTTTGGTTACATCTTCTTTGTATTTTTATTATGTTTAGTGATTAGTGAGTACATTATAATATATTTTAAAGCCCACCTTGAAATTCCTTTCACTTTTCTCCACCAATTTTTGTGTTTTATTTGTCATAAGGAATACAATTTCACATATTGAAAACCACACCAGACAATGCTCTTTTTACTTTCAGCAACTACACTTATCTTAAATTAAAAAGAGTCTATAGTCTGTTAAATTTACTCAGATATAAGAACTCAATTTGAAGACACAATGGCCAAAGCAGAAAATTTGRTGAGAATCATAAATTTACAGATTGCAAAAGTGCATCAGAACCAAATGATATAAATTTAAAAAAAGACATTTGCTGAGACATCATAATTAGTCAGCTCAAGAAAAAGATTTTTTTAAAATCTTGAAAGTAAATAAAATGATGCATTATATATAGGAGAATAATGTCTATGGAGGCTAGAAGACAAGGGAACAGCATCTTTAAAGAACTGAAAGAAATGAGTGCTCAATCCAGATTTTGTACTAAATGAAAATAATCTTAGGAATTATTATTTAAAGACAATCCCAAATAAGGGGAACCTAAGAAGAATTTGTTGCCTACATACCTGCTCTTAAAGAAATGGCAGAAGTTTTCCATGCTGAAGTAAAAAATGATAAAAACAGGAAACTTGGATTTTTAGGAATTAAGGAAGAGCAATGGATTTCTTTACAACAAGAAAATGCTTTGGCCTCAGTGCATATTTGAAACTTGATCAGATTTGCTGGATTTATATTTTGCCAATAGTTTCTTCATTTTTAATTTGGGGGGCTCTTTCTCTATTACTGTCTGATATGTTGCTACCACAGGTTCATTTCATGTTTCTTATGTAGAATCTTAGATAAAATTGTTTAATGCTATTGTTTTCTAAAAATGTGATTTCCATTGGCTAAGCTAATAATTATATTTTTGAATGGATTATTGAAATAATAATGCCATTTCCAGTTCTTAGATTTGTGATCTGTTATATGATGATCATGAACATTATTTTTATTTCAGACCACCAGAGAGGCTCTTTAATTTTACTTCACTTTCCCCCAGATGCTTTAATCATATAACAAAATCATCAATTTTACAACAATATAATATGTAGTGTGCAACACAGTATTTTAATTGGAACAATTGCTGACATATTTTCTGACAAACAAGAGGGGCTACCTATTATGCTTCTTAGAAAAATGTCCTGGGCTGGAGTATAGGGCAGTGGTAGAGCCTGTACTTAGCATGCACAAGACCCTGATTTCTAGCTCCATCACTAAGAGAAAGAAAGAGAAATGTCTTTTTTTTTTTCTTTTTGCATTTGTTGATTTGCTATATGCATCCCTGAAAGTTTCAGATTTAGTAGAATTTGGGGTGGAGATGGGTAATCAGGGGTGACCCTAGGGGGCACTTAACCACTGAGTCACATCACCAGCCCTTTTTATTTTTCATTTTGAGATAGGGTTTCACTAAGTTGCCCAGGGCCTCACTAAGTTGCTGAGACTACCTTTGAACTTGTGATCCTCCTACCTCAATCTCCTGAGATGCTGGGATTATAGGTGTCTTAATAGAATTTTTTTAATAGAATTTTTTTTCTGGGGTCCCTTAGACCCCCTGATGATTACTAGAATTTTTTAAATTCATCACTTATGGAAAGTAAGAAATAGTGTTTCCTTTTTCTCCTTTCCAGTTCTCATTACTTTTATTTTTGCTTCAGACAGTCTGTGTTTTCCCTTTTGTTGTCAAAAGTGTTACTAATTTTAGTATCCAATGTATGAGCAAAGGGTAAATATTGATCTGTCACTGCTGAAAAACATTAAATCTTTTTATTATGGAAAATTTAAATTTATAACCACATATTATCTCCCCATCGCACAGTACAATAACACAAAGCCAGTTGCCGTAGTAATTTTTGCAGCTGCATCAAATGCTTTTTGTACATTTAATTATTTTTTTAAAAAAGGTGGAAATCCTTTACTTTCCTTGATACCATGTGAATTCTGATGAAAATTTTTTTCCAAATCACTTTAAAGAAATGATTTATAGATAATGCAATTCAAAAGTATTGATGGAATCTCATGGTTTTTTTTTCTATAAAAGTAACTTAAGTTTTTAGCATTGGCATTCCCATCTCAGAGTAATAGTCTAGAAGCTTGAAATCAACTTCCTCTTATTTTTTTTTAATTTTCTGTATCCAAGAAAGCCTACCTGCTTTTCTTAAAAAACTCTGGAATTTACCCTCAAATTCTGTCATTCTTTTTTTATAGCCAACGCCTGTGTGTTTTCTCGGCCTCGGCTCTCTTCTTTTTATTACTTTCTGCACATTTACTCTGAGGATCTTCAGGAGATGTCATATTCTCACTGTAGCAAGTCTAGGCTTTTCTACCTCATATGCATTATCATCCACATCTCCACAAAGCCCTCTATATTGAATTTATTTTCTGCTTTTCTCCCACTGGTGTCTGGGTACTTATTCAACCCCAAAGAGACCATGGTACATGCCATAATCATTTTTTCCATTTCCTTGCCTCTCCTCATGCTTTCAACCCTAACCTTATGCCCTTTCAGGAATACTATTGTCTTTTTTCCTTACGACCTCTGAAAGTTTCTATCACCAATTAATTTTGGAAAAGCTTCTCCAATTCCTCATCTAATTTTTCCTCTTTTGTATGTGATGAAATTCGCAAAGACAAAGACCTGTGTCATTCACTTCACTCCCATCTTCAGTTTTTAAAGTTAGATCAGAGCCAGGTGTGGTAGTGCATTCTTGTAATCCCAATTATTTGGGAGGTTAAGGCAAGAGGATTTTAGCCTCAGCAACTTAGCAAGGCCTTGTCTCAAAATAAAAAGACAGGGGCATGTATCTCAGTGGTAAAGTGCCCCTAGTTCAATTCCCAGTGCCAAAAAATAAAGTTAGAGCAAAAGAATTTCTTTTTTGTTCCTTTTTTCTTTTTATTCACTTTTGGAAACATGATTTTTTCTTCTTCCAGCTCCCTCACTCTTGCGCACCCCACATCAGAAGCAGTTTTATTTTATGAAATAGATAAGAATGCAGACATTGGTAGGTGAAATACTGCACTAATGAAGTTAAAGGGAAATTGACTCCCACATGTAACCGTTAAGCTCACACAGAACAAAACTCCCATTCACAGTCCCAGGCTGTGTATTGAATCTGCCTACCCGTCTTCAAAGTGTATTTTGTTTAGTGTTGGGGAAATTGAGCAATAAACTGGCTTTCTTAGCACAAATCTGTCAGTATTAGAAAAATGTCTAGAAATTAGTGTATTTTATACTCAAATTACTTTTGTTTAAAAGGCTAGCTATTAAAACATGCCTACCTAATAGTATGTCTACAGCAAAGACAGAAGACATTTTCTGTAAATGGTCAGATAGTAAATGTTTTTAGGCTTTGCGGGCCACATATGCTGTTACATGTTCTTTGTTTTTGATGTTTTTGTTTATCACCCTTTAAAAGTGTAAAAGCCAGTTTCATCTGTAAGCAGGATAGAAGTGGGTCATGGGCTGGATTTGGCCTGTGGTTGTAGTTTCCTGACCCCTGCTCTGTAGCAATAGGAAAATCAAATCTGTTTAATTAAGCATTTAAGAGGGCAGAGAACTTTATTATCTATGAAAATTTGCTAATGCTCATTCAAGTCCTAAATAGACTGGAATGTGCCATAGGGGTCCCATCTCGTCATAGAGCATGAGAAATCTTCACCTAAGAGGAATGGCTCAGGAACAGGGTCAGGATTAGAGAAGGGTAAGAGATGCATCATGGTGGACTTGAATGTGTAGTGTGTCCTTCATGGGGAAAAAATAGACTTGTCCTGTCTGGTGCTTATTCCTTGATTGGAATGTGCTGTTCTGGGACAGAGTAAATGTTCTTCTCCAACAATGGTGATTTTTCCTAAGAAGAATGAAGTTTCTTGTGAAGAACTTCTGGACTTTACTCACAGCTTAGTGACTTGTAGTTGTACTCACTATGGAATAGATCACAATAGACATCAATGATGAGGGAATGTTGCAGTAAATAAAAGGATTTACTTTGGGTAGAATTAAAAATCTTCATAGGACATGCTTTAGATCTTCGCAAATGACCCACATTGCTGGACAATATCTAAAAATGTTACCCAACAGTAAGTATAAACTTTATTGTGTTGGAAGTTTCCAAAAGACACTCTAATTCTTAGTTTAGAAATGATCTGTTTATTTCATATGAACAATTTGTACTTGCTTGAATGCTATAACTTGTAAACCTCCTATTATCTACTTAGATAGAAGGTAAATCACACAAATAGCCAAAAAACAAAAAACTTGAAGTGGATGTAATTTTTTTTTTCTCACCCTACTAACAAGGGTAGTTAGTCAATGACAGAATTCTGGTTCAGATTCATCACTTTGTATTTCCCTTTTTCCATACCAGCCCTCATCTCCACTTAAGAAATTCTGGCAAGCTAGTTTAAAGACACCTCCCTAGGTTGAATTATTTGTCTATGAGCCTTAACTTCTGTGCTTCATCATTCATGACTATGGAAATAGTCACAGCTACTGATTTTATTTAGTTTTGAACTGTTACAGTATTGATCAATTTTATCCTGTTTATTTAAGTTAATCAGGGTGCAATTTATCTTAATTTTGATTTTGGTTGTAGAGGTTGGCGATTTGAAGGAGCTGCAGACACTAGACATTTCTACCAATCGTTTGCTAACTTTACCCGAGCGGCTTCATCTGTGCCTTTCTCTGCAGTACCTCACTGTGGACCGCAATCGTCTATGGTATGTGCCGCGCCATCTTTGCCAGCTGCCCAGCCTCAACGAACTCTCCATGGCTGGAAATCGTCTTGCATTTTTGCCACTTGGTAAGTGATGGTGTTTCTGTGGTACACAAAAAGGGCCAAAAATTAAGATGGTTTTTTGACTAGGATAGATTAGTTTCTTACTGTTTATCTACAGAGAGATTGCCTCTCTATACTTATTGTTGCAGTCAATAGAGGAGCATCATTCCCAGATAACAAATGAAATTATTACAATTAGGAATTTATATATATATATATATATATATATATATTTTTTTTTTTTTTAAATCTGTGCTAAAAATTTGCTTAGGGACAAAATACATGCAATATAAGATAATTACTCTGTGGAGGGAATTAAAGAGCGTGTGTGTTTTATGTGTGTGTGTGAACATGTGACTATACATTTGACAGAGAGTATTGGGCAATATGAAAGAACAGCTACTTGTCTGAATATACCTACTTAGATCTTCACTTATACCTAGAAAATTTGGTATTGAGTGCCTAATAATTAGCATTGCCAGATAACGTGATCGTAAAACCTTAAAGACTTTTAAATTGGCTAAATGTCCTGCTGATCTTGAAACATCACCATGGCTAATAAACAGCATATTGTCCCCGGTAGATTTCTATTTGACCCATATTATATGTCAACCAACTTAGACCTTTAGTAACTAAACAGCACATTTATTTCATTTAAAAAATCGATTACTTCTTAACTTTTAAGAAACAGAAGTATGAACTAAAAAAAATAGTTAAAATATGAAGTCCCATAGAACCCCAGTTCTGTCACAATAAACATCATATAAATTTATTCATAAAAATTTTTGTAATGAATAATTTATCATTGAGGGCAATGAAGTAAATATTTTACTAGTCCCTGAAAGGTAATGTTTTCCAATATAACTATACATATTATTTTCAATTTAAATCACTTCATGAAAACTTTAAGTACTGGCAACATTAAAATCAATTCACATAATGATAAGTAATTGTCAAATTTAGGGAAATTACGTTTTCACAAACTCTGCTTTTACAATTAACAAAGTAAAATAAAACTACTAAAAAGAAAGCTGCATTTCTAGGAAATTTGAGCTGATCTTGAGTAAGAAAAATATCAAATTTGAACTTTTTTTTTTAAATAAATATACATTCTGCGCTAACCCAGAGATCCAAGTTCTAGCCTGATTCCACCACTTCACAATGTGTGATCCAGAGTAAAGCCCCAGAACCTCTCTGAGTATCATTTTTCTTATCTGTAAGCCAGAGATGATATGTATCCTAGTTAATATGATAGTTTATGGATAAGAATTACAAAGTCCTGTAAAAATGTAGATGACTTTAAAATGAAAATATATAACTTATGGATTACCATATCTAAGTTTAAAAAATGTTTTAATAGTACAATTTAATAGTACAATTAATTTTCATTGTATTATTATAAACCACATATGTAAGAAGATTTTCCATGCTATGGCTAGCAATAGCTCTCACTTCTTGAGCACCCATCCTTTGGTCAAGTATTCTAATTGCCATATAGATAGATGCTCTCTAAGTATTACAAAACCTTATGACAAAATCTATTAAAAAACCCATTGACAACCTGATTTTACATCATCTTTCTAGTTGTATGGCCATCTTCAGTGTCAAATTTGGCTCTGCCATTTTGGATTCAAAAACTCCTTTGGACACTCTAGTTGGCCTCTTTCAGTGCATCTCTCCATTTTCCCAGCAGGGTCTGCCTGACACGGGTAAGTGCTTTCTCTCAACTACTCTCTCTATACATCAACCAGATACTTTTAAATCATTTGCTTCCACCTTGTCTAACTTCAACAAATCCTACAGCAACATAAATATTTTTTAAAATTTATTGCTACATTATAATCATACATAATAATGAAATTCATTTTGATATAGTCATACATGCACATAACATGAATTGGTAATTACATTCACCAGTACTCCTTTCCCTCCCCTCCTCCTTCCTCCTGATGCCCTTCTCCTATTCTGCTGGTCTCCTTTTCTATTTTCCTAAGATCCTTTTCTCCATTTTTCTGTTTAGTTTCCACATACAAGAGAAAACAGAACCCCTGACTTTCTGAGTCTGGCTTACTTCACTTACCATGATGTTCTCCAGTTTTATCCATTTTCCTGAAAGTGACATAATTTCATTCTTCCTTATGGTTAGTAAAGCTCCATGGTGTGCATGTGTCTGTGTGTGTATGGCACATTTTCTTTATTCATTCATCTGTTTATGAACCCCAAGACTTGGTTCTATTACTTTGCTATGTGAATGTACTGCTGTAAACATGGATATGCATATAGCACTATGGTATGCTGACTTTAGTTCTTTGGGTTAAATACTGAGGAGTGGTATAGCTAGGACACATGGTGGTTTCATTCCTGGTATTTTGAGGAACCTCCATATTGATTTACGTAGTGGTTGTACTAATGAACAATCCCACCAACAGTGTATAAACATTCCTTAGTCACTGCTCCTCCAGCATTTATTATTATTTATATTCTTAATTGCCATTCTAACTGGTAATAGATGAAATCTCAGTGTCGTTTTGATTTCCATTTCCCTGATTGCTAAAGATGCAACAGAAATCTTATAAAAGCCTAGTCCTTATATTTCTCATCTAGGTCTTTCTTGGTGCCAGCAAGTCTTCTTCTCACTTTGTTTGTCCCCTTCAAGTTCTGCAGAGCCCCTAGTTCCTTCATTTTGAAATTGTGTTTCTAGCAACTAGTTTTCCTTGTCTTTTTTTTTGGGGGGGGGGGCGGGGTTCTTCCACTACATACTCTGTCTCAACTCTAAACCATTCATACATCTGGCTGGCCAGAGCATGATCCATAGCCCTGGTCTCATGTCTGATAGCCAAATGGACTCTTATCATAATACCATGTAGAGCTTCCACTCTGCCTGGAATTTCACACACAATTGGACTTTCTAAGTCAAATGGCTTTTATGTCTTGTAGCTAGTTTCTGTGCCTTCTGCCTTGCCTATTCTCTATGCCTCACCATAGCTTCTCATTCCCTTGGTCATTTGCTGCCCGTTTCTACCTTTGTTTCAGTAGTGACAGAGCTGAACAGGTACTGAGTAGGCAATGGTGTTAGAAGAATAAAGGGAAGTCATACCCCTGGGAACCTGCCCACTGTTAACATTTGGGGTGCCTGGCAGTCATACTGTGTATTATGCTAAATACCATGTATCACAGTGGCAGAGGATCTGATTTGCAGTGGCTGGTGCAGATGCTAGAAGTAGTTCTTGGGCAGAGGATAGAGGACTACACATTGCCCGGCTCTTCCTCTGCGCTGRCACTCTCATTTATTTGCATCTTCTGTATGCACCGTGTCAGTGCTGGTGTGGCTAGGGAAGTGGACATGTSTTTTTCACTACTTGATATTCAGTGGTGAGTAGAATTATTACAAAATAATTTCTGTCTCTAGGTTTCATGTCACCCTACCCTCAAGTCATTTTTCTGTGTCAGGAGACTTTTTCCTTTGTAAACTTCATAATGTTGTGTCAAAGAGCACGAGTGGCAAGGTAGACCACCTTGTGCTGGGCTCTGAGGAAAGTGCCTTGTGGCGGCTAAAATACCCAGAACTCCTAGGCCTGGGGCTCTAGACAACCTCGAATGTGGAAGCAGCTTCCACACTGCCCTGGACACTATCCCAGCTCACAGGACTCCCACCCTGATAGCACATGGGCCTGTGAACAGGGAGAAAAACACATAAGCAAAAGGGTAGTGGTGAGGCTTGTCCAGCCTAAAAGAAACATCCTGCCCAAAGTAGCACTCTCCTCTTGGTCTATGACTAGATCCTTTGAGAACAGGGGATGAAAGGGTCAGGGAGCAGAAACATGCATTGGCAGCCACACAATGTGTGGTCACCCAGAGAAGGCTTTGAGGAGATTGGAGATTAGGTAATCCGMGAGGATGAAAGAAACTGAAGCAAACCAAAATGTCAGCAGTCTCTTCAGTTTTGTTTTTGTTTTTTACTTTTTAAATTAATTTAATTTTTATTGTTTTTGCCACCAGGAAAGCAAGTTTGGAAATAATTACAACTTTAGCAAGAAAATAGTTAACATTTGTGTGCTTGAAATCTTTCCTGGAATTCTTCTGATAAACCAAAGTCATCTAATGCTAAGAACTATCAGAGAAAGTGAAATGAAGCACAGTGCTGCTGACCCTCCCTTTGCTTAGCGCACTGAACTGTCCTTAGAAACTTAGAAGAGGAGGGGTTCCTCTATATAGTTGCTTGGAGATGCTGTACACACACACACACACACACACACACACACACACACACACACACACCCTGAAGTTTTCAAGCTCTGGAAGACTTCTGTGTTTTTCTGTGTTTTTAGAAGCAAAATATAGGAACTTAGGAGTTTTGTGAAGTCAGTGTTAGATATCCTCTGCCTGTGAGGGAAGGTGGGAATCATATTCTGGGAGCCACTTACTGAATTCAGTTTCTTGTCAAAGAAGTTTGACTTCAGAGAAAACCAGTTTTTATAGGGCTTCTTAAAGTAATGTCAGATTATACCTGCTTCAAAAGGCAGCTACAGAAGTTATATGTAAGGATGACTTAAATCACTTGTAATATTATCGAACCCATTAACTCTCTTTGAGTATGTTCTTCTAAGTCACTTGTAATACTGTCGAAACCATTAAGACTCTTTGACTGTGTTCTTCTTAAGATGAAAAGATGTATCAAAAAAGAAGGATGCTCCTCTTATTACTGTACCGTGACAGTTGAGTGACAGATGAGTCTGCTGCCAGAGGCTTTGTTCTCAGTGGTGACTATCAGCAGAGAAGGAGAAGAGCAGTCACTTGAGCCTATGCTATGAAAGTTAACAGAGGTCTCTCAAAACTTGAATATTTGCTATCAATTCAGGATAGCTCTGTTTAGCTCACAGAATTGTGACCACCCCTTGGCTTCTGAAAGTTTAGAGAAATGTGAAGAAAAAGGTGGTTTCCTCTAAGGCTTTTTTTACCAGATGCTGCTAGTTTTCCTTACATAATTAATAAGCCCTATTATTCAGGAATGTTTACAACTTGTT